GACGGAGCTATGAGCTAAAAGTTTGTACTTGGAAGAAACAACAACAAAAGAAAAACAGACTCGGAACCGTTCTATGAGCCGCTATGCCGCGGCTAAAAATGTAAGTCCAACGCTATACACGGTTAATTATTGGACAATGCAATAACTGTTAAATAATACTTGGTAAGCCTCTTAAGCCTAATATATTTATAATACAATCTTCAATTAATTAAATAAAACTTCATAAAACTTAAGTATATGTAATAGTTATTAAGATTTCAGCTGAAGATGTCAAAAGTTGTTTCTTTCTTACGCTTCATATGGATAACATATTTTTTACACGTGTTATAAATATGAATTCTAATCAACTAATGTAAAAATGCAAATTAATTTTTTAAGAGGTATGATGGTATAACCTTAAATTTATTAATATACATATATAAAGTTGGAACATTTTTGAGAATAATGTTTTACAGACTTAACTCTAATCATGATACACAGTGCCTTACTTTCAACATTGCGTATACAGATTCAGATGAAGGAGAAATTATCATATTTCCTTAGCTCTTGTGTTATCGAAGTTCTTGAATTATGGTTTATGTACTTTTTTTATCCTACGTATTTCAAATGCACACAATAATCTAAAGAGAATTTCTAATGATAAGTTTCTCAAAAGTTTTCTTTGTTTTGTACCATCCATAGAATTACTTGCTAGAAAAAAATATAACCTTCATTTGTCCTCACCGCTGTTTACATTGTTGTATTCCAAGGATAAACCGTACTCAGTAACCTGATTTTTTTAACAGCGAGAAGTTCACAGATCTAGTACCTTGAAAGGACCAGTGCAATGATTTGTTACAGGTGGATAAGAGTCAGTGTGAAAATAAACACAAACCGACACTTTAATGAAAATAAACACAAATAGTACAATGTCGAGGATAATGCTTTAGTATGGTGGGAAAGTTAAAAAATAAACTGAAAATAAATCGAAAGCTATTGATAATTTTAATTAGAAAAAAGGCACGAACTCACACACACACACACACGACGAGCTAACTGAACAAACAAAGTAACGAGATAAGAAAAATAGAACTGGAACAAGACGTCTAGCAGGTTTGACTTTCTTTCAGTGTCAGAAACGATGGTATTTGAAAATACCAAAGTTGCTCCCATATTTCACATCCTCTCTGTAGCTGACCAAGCGCAAAATTGGATCACAAATGTTCAGAGGCGTTTCTGCTCTCAAAGACAGCTATAAAATGGTTCTCCATCCACTAGGTAACGTAGAATACAATACAACTGTACCACGAAACGGTAGATTGTATCTTTGTTACAGAAAGGAACATCTACTGTTGAATTAGCCTAATCCGGATTTAAGGCTTGGCATGGCCAGGTGGTTAGGGCGCTCGACTCGTAATCTGAGGGTTGCGGGTTCGAATTCCCGTCACACTAAACATGCCAACCTCTACCACTTTTAGTAGACTCGATTTTTAGCAAAAAGTCTATTAATAATTTTAGAATGAATCCATTATCAACTAACACTGCGTGTGACGATTATTTGATTTTTATTATTTTTAAAAGCTAAATTCTAGCGTATGCTCGCTCTATAGAACTTAGATTGGAGAGTGTTTGCTTTTAGACACCAGCAAAGCACTCTATTTGAATCCTCACATCTGTCAGGTCTATCTTCGTCCCCACATCTATCAGGTTTATCTTCGTCCCCACATTTATCAGGTTTATCTTCGTTAATCGACAAATATTCAATTCTGCCAACAGTAGGCGCACAGGTTGAAAGGATTAATAATATACAATATAAAACATTTTGTAGACTGTATTAACTGAGAAACTCTTACCTATCATATTCTAACCCTATCTCCAGTTCACCGTTGCTCTGTGGTGACTCAAGAGTATCCAACACAACAGATGTGTCAGAACTAACACTGGTACAGGATAACGCTCTCTTTAGCTTCGTGCTTGAACCGTTAAATGCTTTCGAAATAAGAAAAAAAAAAGACATGATTTTATTAATTTGTATACGAAAAGTTAGAAACTTGTATCAAACTTATCTCCAAAATACTTATTTGAATATAAGATTACAAAACAAAAAATACGCAGGAAAACAGTGACCAGAAATAGTCTGGCACGTCACATATGAGAATATTACCTCAAAAAGCTACATAACTGCATTATTTTAAGTATATCAGTCACTTGAAAGTTTCCATTCAAGTTCATTGTGCTTTATTTAGTTGTTTATATTCACGTTTCATTTACGATGTAAGAACCATATGAGATGGCAACTGTGTTTGCTATTCTTTCGGGAGAAAAAAAAATATCGTTATGTTGGTCCGAATTTTACTTTTTGTGAAAATAAAATACTCACAAGCATTTATGATATAAACTGCACATAAGTGAGTTAAACGACGTTATTTATGACGTGTCTATCTATTCGAAAGAGTTACGTGGTATCTAATCGTAGAGGAGTTACATCAACTTGATCCTCCTGACGTACTACAACCATTTCTCACAAAGATGTCACTGTTCAACCACCTAACGTCATGCTGGTGAACCAAACCCACGTAAGCCGCTCACGAAGAATCACTGAACCCTGTTTACAGTAACGTTACTGAGTCAGACTGATCCGAAAACCTAGCTGTATGTATCAATCATTCTGTATCAAGACACGTATTTCTTGAGATAGATATACTTGAAAAACATCGGGGCCTCGTTGTCATTGGTTACTAAATGAAAATCGGTGCTTATAGGTGAAGCGACAAAGTAAAAATCAGTAAATAAGCTGCTTTTAGCGCTAGTATTTTTCACGGAGATTAAAATGACAAGGATAGGGAGTTATATATCAAAATAATAATAAATACGAACGAATATAGGAAAAGCGTATACGAAAGTACGGATAGATAAATAAAATATACGTAAATAAATGGATAATAAAGTGATAAGAAAGGTCAAGGGTGAGAAGAAGAATTCTGAAGATATCAAAGAGAAAATAAGAGATATGAGGATGGAGCTTTAGAACAAAAAGCAGCAGAGGTTAGTAGGAAAAAAAAGAAGCCTATATAGGAAATAATAAGAGCCAAATATAGAAACTTATGGCAACCTGACGTACATACAGGATGCATGGTATACTTGAAACAAAAGATTTATAATTTTAAAGAGATTTGTTGGTTGTGTGTAAAGGTTAACTACTGCAATGTATTATAATCCATAATTATGTTTATGTTTATTTTGAGATATATTTGTGTTTAATCATTTTTACGTTTTTTTTTTATTCTTATTCATATCAGACATCGACCATTTTCAGCTTTTTCTCGAATTTTATTTGTTATTCATTTCTATGTTTTACTATATTGGTGTGTGATAAAACATTTTGTTTTAGAGAACGTTTGGCCACGTGGTTTCATTTACTTGCTAATATCATTCTCATGCGTTGTAAATATGAAATATGGATTGCCTTCAAATTATATATGGATATATTTTTGTACTTGGTTACATAGATGTAGACTCGTGATGTTCTTGGGCTATATAGTTGTAAAGCAAAAGTAAAAGTGGTTCAGAAAGTGAAAATATTCTAGATATTGACATCAAAAATTAAGCCATGTGTGAATTAATATATAAATGTGAAATTATAACTTTCAGAAACTTCAATTCTCACTCGAGTTTGACCACGAACTAAAGAACTGCTAAATCAGTCACCAACCACGATAGTTTCGTGTACTTAATTTTGCAGAAACATTTAGGATAAGTTTGAAGGAAGGAAACGATAACCTTGTACATTTATACGATTGATTAGTATCCCTAGGGGCTAGGGCTAGTTTACGGAGTTACAACTCTAACATCCGAAGTTCGATTCCCCACAGTGGACACAGCAAATGGCACAACGTGGCTTTATTCGAAAACAACTAACCAACCAATTATTGATTCGTTAGGAAATGTTAAAAGATATAATAACCACTTGGAAAATATTGGTTTTTATAGAGTATTACCATGTGTTGAAGGCAACCGTAGCCCTTCATAAATAATATATTATTAATAAATAAAAAAAATATACTCCTCCAAATCACATTCCATTATATGTCATAGAAACTGCTAGAAAGTATTTTATACAGTTTGGAAATTAGAAAAATTCACAAGAAAATTACAAAAAATACCGAGAATTATATAAATATTTCAGATTTCTGCGTCTCTCCTCCGGTAGGTCAGCGGTACGCTTACGGACTTACAACGCTAAAGTCCAGGATTCGATTCCCCGTAGTGAACGCTGTGCATATAGCATAGTTCAGTTTTGAGCTAAAACAAACAACAACATAATTCTTCTCTAGATTCACAGTTTTAATTTCTTTCTTTCCGATTTAATTTTTTTTTATCTAATTTGAGCTCAAAGATTTTTATGAGTGAACGTCATTGAAATGAATACACCACCTTCCCAATTGTAATATAGCAATGTTACATTACCAATTGTAGTAAAGCAATGTTACATTCCCAACAATAATTAAGCTTCTATGTTTGTTGGTGGCCTATTACGTCTGTATATATCAGCAATCTCGTTTCTTCAGATTACTGGGAAGGAAAATCTCTTCTAAGTTGCAGTGAAAACATTGACTAAGCGACTTATTTTATATCCTAAAATCATATATATTCAACCAAGTTGACTGCCGTAGATGGAGAGAAGACATGTCTACTTTGTATGGTTTTGCTCAGCTTTGAACATTAAAAATTGGATGAAACTTTTATGCGAAAAAGATAATATAGATTTACCGTGTATTTTTGAGCGTTTTATAATTTAACTAGATAAAATTATCACTTTTAACTATTCTTTGTAGCTTGAAGATTATGACCTTCATATTATGCATTTTTAGCCATGGCATAGCGGCTCATTTAGCTCATAGCTCCGTCATCTCTTCACCAATTTGAGATCTTATTACAGTTTTAGATTCAAGAGATTAAACTCTTTCGATTGATATATTGACTACGCCCAAGGTCTCATGGATTAATTTACTCTAATCTTGCTTTAAAAACATTCAAGTGCCGCGGCTATTGAGGATTCCCTCTTGTTAAACACTACATTCTTAACTCAACCCCTTAGGGATTTTCAAGAATTAGAAGAACGTATAATTAGAATATTCTAATCACACTAAATTTGTCACATCTCTTGCCGACGATGCGTTCACTCGATCCAGAGCTCTTCAGGTCGGCTAGGATATAACAAACAACAACAATGGTTGGAACACTATTTATATAAGCCATTTAATACAATAACATTTGTTATGTCTAGTCCCTAGGGACTTTCAAAAATTATAATAATGTGTAAGTAAGATTGTAATCATTCTTCGCCGGCTAGTAAAAGGCGTACACATAAAAAAATGACATATCTAACATTAACTTGTTTGTTTGTTTAGAACAAAGCCATATTGGGCTATCTACTGTATCTACCGCTGAGAATCGAACCCCGGATTTTAGAGTTGCCAGTCTGTAAGCTTACCACTGTCCTAACGGAGGAACGCAGAGAGGATAGATAGCAAGGTCGCTAACCTTTAGCCAGTATTTCACGGGTATACTAATACTCCCTACTAATATGTGGTATTCTTAATTACACTTTATTGTATCTCAATGATTACCAGCAGTGAGAGTTAGGTCCGCTGATAACAGGAGGTTTTGACATCTCGGACTTTGAGGTGTATTTTCCTTCATGTTACAAATGATTGCGAGAAGAAAGGGATACCATGCAGTTCTCCAAACATAAAACATTATTTAATTCACAATTTATAATACAAAATACACTATAATACACCAAGGGCAAGCGATCCTGTGCACGTTAAAAAAGAATAACTAGGAAGAACTAATGACGAAGACTTTCATAAAATCTGATTTTACTAGTGCATGTCCCCCCATTAAATTAATACACAAACGAAAATACTAAATGAAAATAACCCCACATTAAGTTAAATTTATTATAGACAGCTAAGTTTGAATAACTAAATAACATTCAAGTACTAACTTGAATCTCACCAAAACAGCAAACGCTTTAAAACACTAACATTAATAATTCACTTCAAAAATACTCATACTACATGAGTGGAGTAAATACTACACTCTGGAAAAGTTTCATACTTAATGTGGAGAAAACGCTATATTATCTGTGTACAGCAAATGTAAACAACTTAATAAAGCACTTGCAAGATTATTAATTAAAGGACAAAATATCGTCGTATGTGTTAGTTAATTCCAAACCACATTAAATGGAACAAAGTGTTAGAATTTTGATATTAGAGAAACTAATGTTGACACATTCGAGTGTCTTCTTCACTTTCATGTTATCTTTTACCAGGGAAACTACTCAACAATGCCTAAGTGACTTTGAAACATCGAATTCCCTCTCTGAAAACCTCTCTGAAAGCTGACCTTTTCTGGCCTTGAATCCAGATGACTGTACCAACCTCGGTACCTCTGTGCTGGACTTAACGTAGGATTCAAATTCTGCCCATTGCATCCTGCATGGTAGAGGGGTGTGCTTGCTTCACTTGTATCTTAAGTTGTGGACTGTCCAAGGCATCTACGAACTGATCCCTCAGCAATAACTTGAGGAGATCCGGTGGGTGCAGTTGGGTAGGCCTTGTGTGCCATGCTTTCCAAGTCTTCTGCCAGCTCTTGCAGGCTCTCCCCTTTAGCACGGATTCTCGTCCTAATCCTAGCCCTGTAAACTTCTGACTGATTCTGGGTTCCATACCTGAGTTCCAGAGCCTCTACCAATGCTCTATAGTTGTGTCTGTCGGCTGCTGTCAACTGTCCAAGTATTTCCAGTGGTTGTCCCTTCAAGCTCGTTGCCAGATATACTGCTTTCTGCTCCTCTGTCCATCCTTTCACATCTGCCAGTAACTCAAACTGTGCTCTATATGCTTCCCACGGTGCTTTCCCATTGAATTCCTGTGGCTTCCTTCGTACTGGATCACTCCTAGTACTGACATTCATATCTGGAATGTGACTTCTAACGGGACTGAATATGTCTGCATTAGGGTTTAGCTGCGGGCTCTGTAAGGGACTTGCCATTGTCTGGGGCTGATTAAGTCGATGGTCAATGTATCCTCCTTGTGTGAAAGACAATAGATCGTCCTTTAACGTATCTAATTCGCTTTTAAATTTATTAATGTTTTCCATTTGTACTTCTTCTTTCCTTTCTTGTTCCAGTTGCCACTGCTGTAGTCTCTCTTCTTGTTTCTTTTCTCGTTCTTCTTGTTTATTTTCTTTCTCCTCTAACAACTGCTGTAATTTCTCTTCTTGTTTATTTTCTGTCTCCTCTGACAGTGGCAAGAAAACCTACAACAATGGCAGCTCGAACAGCAAAATAAACAAGAGAGATTACAGCAGTTGTTGGAGGAAAAAGAAAAGAAACAAGAAGAAAGATTACAGCAGTGGCAAGAAAACCTGCAACAGTGGCAGCTCGAACAACAAAATAAACAAGAAGAGAAATTACAGCAGTTGCTTTTCTCGTTCTTCTTGTTTCTTTTCTTTTTCCTCCAACAAATTTCTTTTTCCTCCAACAACTACTGTAATCTGTCTTGTTTATTTTGCTGTTCCAGCTGCCACTGTTGCAAGTTTTCATGCAACCGCTGTTGTCTCTCTTCTTGTTTCTTTTGTTTTTCCTCTAACAACTGCTGTAATCTCTCTTCTTGTTTAATTTCTCGTTCTTCTTGTTTCTTCTCTTGTTTATTTTGTTGTTCGAACTGCCATTGTTGCAGGTTTTCTTGCAACTGCTGTTGTCTCTCTTCTTATTTCTTTTGCTGTTCTTGTATTGCTGCCATCAAATCTGCTAAACTGTAGTTTTATTTACCGCTTCTCGTTTCCATCTTCTCTTTTTCTTCTTTTTTTTTATCCCACATTCTGACACCAATTTGTTACGCCTCCAGTCGTTAATCGATTTTCCGTAACTTCGTTCTGACGAAACTTTAGCGACACAAGTCCTTACTTAATAAAAGTTGTTTTTTCTTTCCGAATATAACTTTACGATACACTTAATTTCAACAATCACGCTAAAACAAACGCTATAACAACGAACGTGCTCAACTTCAATAATACTCTCTGACCGCAGATCAATTACTCACTGTCTACACACACACATTATTCCGTCACGTTGTCACCCTCTTATATATA